CACAGAAGGCTTTTTTGACGAACAATTTCAGAAAATTGTTTTCATGAAAATTTTCCCAAAAACAACCCTCTTTAGAAAACATTAAAAATTCTGTTCCAAATTTTCAAAACCTGTTTTTGCACAACAATGAAACGATATAAAACAATGCATGTTTTCGATTTTTTTTCATTGCTTTGGTTTTCTAAAGCACAAAAAAATAAAACAAAGGAAACAAAAACACAACCAAACAGGCCTTTGCTTCCAAAACCAATGAAAAGTTCTTCCAAAATTCTAGATAACCATGCCTGATAATTTCAAAATTTTCACAGTATTCAGCATATAAAATATAGAAATACAAATTTACGTATTTATATACATACGGATTTATCTTATGAAAACATCCGATAAATCCAATCAAGAACCAGAACAATGAAAACAACAGATCTCACCGTAAAATAAACTAAAACAGACAAACATCACTGAGATCTGTGGCTAATACTAAGATTTCCACCTTCAGCTTACGAGATTCATTACATATCACACAAACCTAAAAACAACTCGATCTCACAACTAAAATCTTCAACATTTCTCAAAAATGACATCAAATCGAAACAATTAAGCTTCACAAGATCGAAAAAAAAGAAGCTAACTTACAGTGATTGGCGAACCAGTGTTGAGCACTCGCTGACCTCTCACAAGTCCTTCAGTACCGTCCATAGCTATGGTCCTCACCATGTTCTCTCCCAAATGCTGCGCTACCTCCAAAACCAACCGGATCGAGTTGTCCAGAACCTCCAGAGCCGTCAGGATCGGCGGCAACCCCTCGTCAAATCTCACATCGACGACGGCTCCGATGACCTGGCAGACCTTCCCGATGGAGCCAGCACCGGTGAACTCGTCGGTGATCTTTCCGCTGGGGCCGCCTGTTTTCGGGGGAGGTGGTGTCGCCGCCGTCTGCGACGGAGCTGCCGCGGTGGTGGCGTAGTCGAGGACACGGTTAAGGAGGAAGCCCTTGGGGGAAGGGCGGTGGGAGGGGCATGGTGAGGGGGCTCTGAGTGCAGATTTGGAAGGTGAGCGATGGACCGACGATCGGAGGAGAGAGGACAGCAGCCTCCTTGACGCCATGGTTTTCTAGAGAGAGAAAGAAGAGAGAGAGAGACTAGGGTTTGTCTGTATGACTCTTTTTATCACTCCACTTTCTTGTTATTACTGGACTGTTACGGACCAATTGGGATTATATTTTTTTATTTTTTTGTTTCTTTCTTTTTCGGATTTGATGTTCGGTATATTGGCTGAAATGACGTCGTTTGGATTGTAATGAGTCTGAAACGATATCGTTTTTCATATTTTCAGTAAGAATCCTATAAATACTGCAATTGCATATTTATGTCTCCTACTATTTCTCCAAATGTATGGTAAGAATTTGCAAGTATTTAGCTAATGGATTTTAAGGTTGTCCGTGCCTAAAAAATTTTATCCTAAACTTTCTACTCATGTTTGAGATAAATCGATAGCCATTATTTAGGGAGGTTTGACTAAACTCATTTTTAATTATAATTTTTAATTCTAGTTTTTTTGAAAATTATTTTTTTTTAACAATTTTTTCAAGAAGGTAAAGAATTACTAAAATGTTGTTGGTTCCCTTATACAAATATAGGCCCTAGCAAGTGAATACTATGCTGTGTTGATAGGTGGTTATCGTGCAAATAATTGATATTTTTGGATTTATGAATATTTTTGTGGTTCTTTAGAGGAGGATTGTTTGTGTTCCTTTTGTAATTTGGCAGCTGCCCTTTTAGAGTGGGCTGGGCTCTATTTGTTTTGTGAAAATGATGAAGGGAGCCATTCATTTGTTTGGTTTTTTAAAAATTTTTATGTTTCACATTTTTTTATTTTTAGTGATTTTTTAAAAACTTTTTAAATACATTTAAAAAGTAAAATATTTGTAAAAAATATATTAAAATTAATAAATACATAACAATACGAAAATGTATTGAATTTTTATAGTTTAAAAATATTTTTGTATTTAGTGAGTGGTTTAAATATATTTTTTACAAATATTATACTTTTTAAATATATCTAAATTAGGTATATCTAAAAGGTTAAAAAATAGTAAAATATTAAAAAAATTATTAAAAACAAAAAATATGAAAAATTAAAAAAAATAATTTTCAAAAAAGCCAAAAAACTATTTTGCTCTTCATTGACATTGTAGAATGATTTATTTGGTATACTAAAAGAAGTTGCACAAAATGAACTAAATTATGGAGAGTATACGAAGACTTAACTATCATTTTGGAGAAAGGTGTTAGACAATTTTCATTGTATTTTAAAAATCAATTTTGTTTATGTACGTAACAATAAACGGAATACAGAAGAAATAAAGGAAATAAGAGAGATTGTTTGATTACAAAAATCAAACTAGAAAATAAAATAAAATAAATAAAACAGATTTTTATTTTGTTACAAAAATAAAATTAAAATATGAAGTAGAAAAATAATGAAACAAAAAGTAAATTAATAACTTACCAAATTAATTTCTTGAACAAATTTTCTGATCAAGTCCAGTGTTTAACAGTGTATCCTTAAGACAGATTCGTCCTCTCCACGGTGCTTTCAAAATATGGACGTCTATCTCCCAAGCTAAAATGATCAACAACAAACAATAGCAGAGCACTACAAATTGTTCGTACAACGAACACACTTTGTGTTTATACACTTTCTCACAAGAAAATAATGCAGCAAAATGCAGAGAGTAATTGCAGAATTTTTGGATGAAAATTAGAGTGAAAAATCCAAATGAAATACTTGTCTATTTATAGGTGTAATAGTGACTTTTTAATTTGAATTCAACAGATATAGTACCTGTTTGGTTTGAATTTTAAACATATATTAAACTGTTTTTATTTTTGAATTTGAACAGATAAAAAACTGTATTTTGAACAGTTTTGAATCTGTACAGAATTTTAGATCCGTTTGTACAGAAACCATGAGAGGTGCAAAAATTGAATTTGAATTTTCCAACTGAAATTTAAATTCAAACGGTTAGAATTTATTTTCCAAAAAATAAAAAATAAATTCAAATATTTTTTGCCCAAAAAGATAGGTATTGGGCCGGACAAGTCCAATCTAACCTCACACCACGCACCCGCGCCCAAGCCCAAGCCCAACCCAGCCCGCGCCACCCGACCGACTGGACGGGCGGCTGCAGTGACGATATGCACGTGTGTTTATTTTTAGGTCCAATGGGTCTTGCCCAATTTGCTCATAACCTCTCTCTTCTACAAACTTGGGGTGCCCCTTAGGGCCCTCCCCAAGTTACAAACTCATACCTTATTGTCACGACCCAAACCTGCCTCTATGGGTTTAGCACTGTAACCGGCTAGTAATCCGAGATTACCGAAGGCCTGCTTAACAGTAAAACAGTAATACAGAGTACATGGGCTGGCGGAAGCCAAAACAGTAATAAAAGATGTCTAATGAGCTGTGACAGTCTGTATGCAAAGACTTTTTAAACATATACACATTCAGGACAAAAACAGTATAAACATACATCGTTTATAGGCATTCAGGTTAGGGACCAAATCCCTACCATAACAGTGCGGTAACAGTCTATACAAATAGAAACTGAAAGGGGGAAATCTAAAACATCCCAAGAGGCCCTAGCTTGAAGGACTTGGAACCTCTCAGTGAGGCACGTTGGTTGGCTTGGCAAAACAAGAGCTAATCCGACGCTCCTAACTCCGGTCCGGTGCCTGAACACCTGCATATATATATAAATAGTAAGCTAAAGCCCAGTGAATAACATATGCGTAAAGAGGTTAAGAATGAATGTCCTTTCAGTATTGAAATCAGTCATTTATCAGTATATCAGTCATTCAGTTTGTGGCTCATAATTCATGCCATAACGGTCATTCAGAAACTATAATAGTCATATGTGGTATATCCAATAGCAAAACAGTACAGTAGGTCTTAACAGACCGAGCAATCAATGATGGCCATCACATCAGCAAACAGTAGTGGTTCCAAACACGAGAATCGACAGAGATCTCTGTAACAGTAGTAGTAACAGTAAATTGCTATGGATGCCACGAATATAGTTCACAAATAGGACAAACATTCATTCAGTAAACAGTGTCATTTCATAAAGCAGTACAGTCATTTATTCAGAAAATAATCTCAATTGAACATATCTTTACAACATAGTTACTCACAGAGCACCGGGCTATAAGCGGCTAGAGCGTTCTCGGATGCCAACCCCACAGTTATAGAACGAATACACACTAAGCTACACAGTTGGGAAATAATAACTTAATCCCTAATTTGCCTCGGTGTAGTTCTACATCAATATCCTCATTAAGATGTTTTAAACTAGGCCTAAGAATGCCTAGGATGGAATGAAGATACAAGGATGCACTTTTAAACACTTTTCAAAATTTTCAGAAAACAGGGGTCTCGCTCGAGCGTGACTTTCTACGCTCGAGCGGACATGCAGACAAAGGAGCTCCGCTCTAGCGTAACTTCCGTCGCTCGAGCGGACTGTAAGCTACAGTAAAAATACTGGATGATACCCGCTCGAGCGTGAGACACAAGTCCTCGCTCGAGCGTGCATTACCTCGCTCGAGCGGACTGTAAACACAGGCAAAGTACTGGATACACAAAATTCCCGCTCAAGCGTCATTTTACCCGCTCGAGCGTACTGCATGAACTTAGTATGTATGCTCGAGCGTGGAGTTTCCCGCTCGAGCATAAGTCTAAAATCTGGAATTTCCAGATTTGAACCTCAAGTTCAAAACTCAACTACAATGCATCAAATTCGATCCTTTTGGGCTAATTTTCTGGAAAACATTTGTAAACTCATAATATGACATGTTTCAAAAATCAATTTAAGAAATCAAAGCCCAAATATAGTTCAATTAAACACAATTTTCAAATAAACTTCAAGAACATGAAGAACAATGCAAATTCAACACATGCATGGGTGTAATGACCCTGACCTCTGATTAATGCTAATTCATGATTAATTATGCTTAACAGTAATTTAGGAAGGATTTGAGATTTATTTGCATGTGTATTGCATTATTTATGTATTTCTATCTATTTGCCATAAAACGATATGTTCATGTCTTTGACTTTAAATTGCGAATTGAAAGCCTTATCGGCGTCCGAATCAGAAATTGACTTGATTTATGTGCTAGTTAGGATTTATAGAATTTTATGGTAGGTTTAATTAAAATTCGGTTCAGAGCAATTAAATTAGATTAAATAACGTTAAATTACATTAGTCCAATTATTTACGAAATTGACCTTGAGTAGGCCACTACCTAAGACTATGTTGAAGCCTTATTACACTTGATCATACAACATTTCCTCAGCCACTTTGAAGCCAAAACCGATTGAGAGAGAGAGAGTAGGAGGATAGACTTGTGTTCATCAAACTTAACTTGGAGACTTGGAGAAATTGAAGGTTGATTTCGTATTTGAGCTTCTAGGCTTGGAATTCAAGACTTAAGGTAGGAGATTTTCCTTTCAATTATGCATTTAAGTTTAATTCTTGCATGGCTCATGGAAGATTAGAGTTTAAAGTCAAGAATTGGTTTTAAGTGTTGAATTGAGGCTTAATTCATGCATGCATGTTCATATCTTGGCATCTTGAAGTGTTTTCATGGTAGTTCTTCCATGCAAGCCCATATTCTAGCCTTAGTCCATGAATTCATCATGATTTTGAGCTCAATCTTACATTTGGTCATGTTTTAGAGCATTGGATTTAAAATGAACACTTGCATGTATGCTCTTGTTTTGTTTTTGAAGTTTTATTTGAAATTGTGTTTAATTGAACTACCTTTGGGCTTTGATTTAGGAAATTGATCTTCAAACCATATCATACTATGAGTTTACAAGAGTTTTCCAGAAAATTAGCCCAAGAGGATCGAAATTGATGCTTTAAAAGTTGGTTTTGAGCTTGGAGGTTCAATTTGGAAATTTCAGATTTTGGACCCACGCTCGAGCGTAGGACTTTACGCTCGAGCGTACACTCTGAATACATGAACTCCCGTTCGAGTGTGGAAGGTAACGCTCGAGCGTGAAATTCGTGTATCCAGTACTTTTCACATGTTTACAGTACGCTCGAGTGAAGGAATGCATGCTCGAGCGAGGACTTGTGTCTTACGCTCGAGCGTGGATCGAGCGCCCATCG